ATATGGCATAGATGAATTGTCAGTTACTTAACTGGAACGTCAGGGGTCTGAATGATGGTGCCCGACAGGACTCGGTTAGTGAGCTAGTGAGAACCACCGGCGCCACCATCGTATGTCTACAAGAAACAAAGATGCAAGTTATGGACCGTAATGTGGTGCGCCGAACAGTCGGAGCGAAATTTGAAAACTCCTATATTGTGCTCCCGGCGGAACAGACACGAGGAGGCATCTTCCTTGCTGTCAACGAAGACTTCTTCAACCTCTCGCCTTTTTTATTGAGTATAATGTTACAAATCCAATTGAGAAGGTGTTCAACGCTACCTTATTTCCTTCTGTTTCTCAGAACCGGTTAATGATGTGCATACTGCTAGATGTGATTCCTAATATGATATATTTGAAGTAATTAATTAACTAACAAATAACAGAGCTAGGATTAGTTAAAATAGTATTTACCAGATGTGCCTAGGGAAAAAAAGGTCAAAAACTGCAGAAAATAGACAAACTGTGAAAACACACAGATTATGCAAGCTGCGGTATCAACACTGTTTTGGTTGTTTGGACTAAAGACAAAAATCAACTGTAAATATCCACGTTTAAGTTTACAAGCACTTACAATATATTGTTATCTAGAAATGGGATGTGGATTTTTATATTTTTAGGACAATATATCCCGTAGTGAGGTCACAGATACAGTGAAAAAAATTCATTCTGTGAATCAAAAAGTCAAAAAGGCATCGAGAGGCCACATCTTTTATTCAACACATAGGAGGGCTATGTATCTTTATATTACGAAGAAGGAAATAACCCTTGCAGGAACGACCAACACACGCTTTTGTTAAAACATAGGAACGACCTCGACCGAGAGAGAATATAATCCACATTCCACACCATGCAACGGGGCAGCTAGATAAGATATGCCCTTGGCCCTAGTTAAACCCCAAAGCCTCATTTCCTTCGTGGCATAGCGTGAGTCCCCTCACATCAGGTGGCCCACCAAAGAAACAATGATTATGGTGGTCCAAAGGGGTCAAGCTCGAGTTAAGACCTTTCTTGACTTGGCCATAAATGGCATTAGCTAGACCACCAATTCTCAAAGGAGGCTTCACCTGGCTGAGGAGAAAGGTTCTGTAGCCCAAACTTTGAATCAGTCAATATGTAGCAAGATATGGGGAGCATAAACTACCCTAAGTTTGAAACGGTAGAAATAGTGGCGACTGATGAGTAAACTTTAGTTACTTATTTGTATCTTCTGAAGTTTGCTTTAAGTGGCCTTTTTTCTGCAAACATCCTATTCCGACACTGCAAGTGCATCAGTAACTTTCAGCATGTTGCAGTTCAGGAACTTCTGTCTTATGATTTTGTTTCACTTGTGCCATCCTTGCAACAAGGATTGTCTTCAACTGCAAGTATTTGAGGGGATCTTTTGTGTAAATACTATATTTTCATTTATAAAGATGATCATCTACCAAAGTACGTCTTTGTATGCTGTTCTGCAGCTCTTGACCTGTTGGAGAATTACAATGTAGAAATTATCATTGGTCCTGAGAAATCTTCACAAGCTATATTTATCTCAGAACTCGGAACTAAAAGTCATGTTCCAGTCATCTCCTTCACTGCAACAAGCCCAACTCTATCCACTAGCAGTGTTCCGTATTTTGTCAGAGCAACACTAAATGACTCAGCACAAGTGAGCTGCATTGCCTCAATAATTAAGGCCTATGGATGGAGAAAGGTCGTCCCAATCTATGAAGACACTGAATATGGTAGAGGTATCATACCTTACCTTGTGGATGTCCTCCAAGAAGTTAATGTGCAGGTTCCCTACCGCAGTGTGATTCCTCCATCAGCAACTAGTGAACAAATTACCGAAGAATTATATAAGCTGATGACAATGCAAACAAGGGTCTACATTGTGCACATGTCCTCAATGTTGGCCTCCACCCTCTTCTTAAAAGCTAAAGAAATAGGAATGATGGAAAAAGGGTATGTATGGATCATAACTGGTGGAGTAACTAATCTCATTGATTCTCTGCATCCTTCTGTTGTGGAATCAATGAATGGTGCCTTGGGTGTCCACTTTTATGTTCCCAAATCAATGGAACTGAATAACTTCACTACAAGGTGGAATATGAGGTACCGAATTGACAACCCGACTGATGCACCATCAAAATTAAGCATCTTTGGACTTTGGAGCTATGATACAATCTGGGCAGTAGCACAAGCTGCAAAAAAGGTAGACTTGTCAATGCCACATTTCGGAAACCAATATCCAAACAAAAAACAACAGACTTGGAAACCTTGGAAACATCTAGTAATGGTCCAGAACTCTTGAAGGAAATCTTGCAGGGTAAATTTATAGGTTTGAGTGGCATGTTTGACCTTTTAGACAGGCAGCTGGTTGTTTTAGCATTTCAAATACTACAACAACAACAACAACATAGCCTTTCAGTCCCAAGCAAGTTGGGGTAGCACCAATTGAAGAAAAGCTTGTCCAACATCGGTTGAGGTGGTTTGGCCATGTCCAAAGGAGACCTTCAGAGGCACCAGTGCATTGTGGAGTCCTAAGCCAAGCTAATAATATGAGGAGAGGTAGAGGAAGACCGAAATTAACATGGGGGGAGACAATAAAAAGAGATTTGAAAGCTTAGGATATACCTAGAGATCTATGTTTGAATAGGAGTACTTGGAAAAGCAGCTATTGAAGTGCCTGAACCAATCTCAAACCCAGATCTGAACCCTGTGATCTGGCCAGGAGAATCCACAGACATACCTAAAGGCTTTGAGGTTCCTGCAAGTGGGAAGAAGCTTCAAGTTGGTGTACGCCCAAGTGGATATCAACAATTTATAAATGTTGAGAAGGATCAAATAACAGGTGCAACTAAAGCAACTGGCCTTTCAGTTGATGTGTTTGAAGAGGCAGTAAAGATACTCCCATATGCAGTGCCTTTTGAGTATGTGTTATTTGGCTCTCCGGAGGATACAAGTAGCAGAAGCTATGATGATTTTGTTTACCAAGTTCATCTTAAGGTAAAAATAAGTTTAGGACCTGTATATTTCCTACTTGACTTTCTTTAGTAAGTAGTAGAGCCTCGAGGCACCAGCCAAACTTGCACATGGTTTACGACAAACCAATGTAGGTAACTCTAAATTCCTAATATCCTTCAGTATAGTACAGTACGAACACTTTTCGCCTGCTTGTTTTTTTCATAGTAAAAGTTCATGTACACTGATCGCATCCTCAATATTTCTTTTTGTCATAACAGAGAATATTAACATGTTATGTAGTTCTCCAGGATTAATTTACATTAGTTGCATAATATCAGTTGCATGATAATGAACTGTACATCGTAGAACCCAATGGAAAAGCCTGATTTCATAGAACATATGCCGCAACTATCTACTGAGTGGTAATCTCAATTATCCATCCATATTATTATTTTACTATCAATTAAAAACCATTATACTAAGGTAAATATTTATTATTCTTTTCATTCCATACAGATATACGATATAGTGATTGGAGATATAACAATCAGATATAACAGAACTTTCTACGCTGACTTTACTGTGCCATACACGGAATCAGGGATAGCAATGGTGGTTCCTGTCAGGGACAGCATAAACAAGAACACATGGATTTTCTTGAAGCCACTAACACCTGGCATGTGGTTTGGGAGCATTGCGTTCTTTATCTACACTGGTGGTGTTATCATTGGAGTTTCTAGGCAACAATCAGAATGTTCGTGGGCCAATTCCCAGACAGCTCGGGATTCTAATCTTTTTCTCCCTATTTGAAGAGAGTTGAGTACACTCATCACATTGGTTTTACCCTCCAAAACGCATAAAATACAGAATTTAGTATAGAGCTGAGAAATCTACATGGGAGTAAGAATTTTATAGATTGCAATCAGATAAGAGAAAGGCTATATGAAAGCAGATCTCTTGTATGTTGCTAGACATGACACAATGCTAATCAGTTTCTTCTAACTGTAATATTACTACTAACTTTTTCACAATGATTCTAAAAAGGAATTCTTTAGCCAAAATCATCATGTTTTTACAGGAGTGATACCCACATGACTCGCAATACTCACCTTGTTATACTGCAATTTGAGTGTCTATTAACTGCAATCTATCTAGTAGCAAGATCACCGCATATGTTCAGCATATCTTGTTCCACCTTGCTATGTTTTAAATATGGATCTAACTGTAGTAAATGAAATTTCACAACATAATGGAACTCTCTCTAAGCTATTATTGAGACCTGGATCCAGGGGTAAGGAAGCATGTAGTTAGGTGACTTATTATGAAGTTAGAGACTTAGGGTACACATTAACCTTAGTAGTTAGCCTAGCCATATAAGTAATATTTTTTTTGAAACAAAGCCATATAAGTAACAATATAGCTATTATTTCTTAATCTTAAATAAAGAAAATATATGTTCCAATTTCTAATTTGCTAAATGGCCCTGCAGTACCTACTGTAAGTTTATAAGTCATCATATCACAGCAAGTATAATTAGAAACTGACAACAGACAAGACTTTTTTTGCTACAATTATCAAATAATTGACATATATTATCTGATTTATCATAAAGGCAACAAATTCAACATTATTCATATTGATGAGCATATAAAATGGCTCCCACAAAAAAGAAATATGATGGCTAATAAATGCAGTAACTTTGTCCTTTCTGTAGTAAAATAATATCCAGTAAGCCAAAATAAAAAGGGTAGAGGATGCAAAATTGTTATCCTACACTATACCAAGTAATATTTATGCGAGTCAACAGTTATGTAACTAAAAAGGTTAACAAAATAATTTCTGTGATGTGTAAATTACAGCTATCAAGTTGGATTTGAGATGTCTAAAACATTAACTCAGTTATCATAGTTTTTGCAGAAGAGATTGTGGAACGCTTTTTATCTCGGATAGTGCTGATTGTGTGGCTGTGTTTTCTTCTGGTACTTACATCAAGTTACACTGCAAACTTGTCATCAATGTTGACTGTACAACAGCTTCAGCCTACCGTGAATGATATCCAAGAACTCCTAAAAAGTGGAGAAAATGTAGGATACCATCGTGGCTCGTATGTCAAGGGACTTTTGGAAGAACTTGGTTTTGAAAGATCCAAGATCAAGCCCTATGATACACCTGACGATTTTCACAATGCACTTTCAACAGGAAGCAGTAATGGTGGTATTGCTGCTCTCGTGCATGAAGTTCCTTACAGTAAACTGTTCCTTGCAAACCACTGCAAAGGTTACACTATGGTCGGACCGATTTATAAGGCTGCAGGTTTTGGATATGTAAGTTGAATTGCATCTAATCTGGTTCTTCTGCACTAGTACATTCCTAGAGATAAAATGAACGAGTTCATCAGTTTGTTTGTTAGTATGAGAAAAAAAGGAATCTCAGATAGCATTCACATGAAAGACAACATCCTATAGTTATTTTCGCCTTATATGGCCAATTCAATAGTTGTGCCTTGTAGAAATGTCAAGATCTAGGTGTCAGAAAATTTGAAGTATTAATTAACCGTCATGGCATATAAGAATTTTTTAAGTACTAATTAATCATCTTGCATATAAGATAAAAAATGAATCATTGTTGCCATTGTTACATATGAATCATCAAAACGGCTATGCTGTTTGTCCAGGCACTTGCAAAGGGAAATCCCCTACTCAGCGACATCTCAAAGGCAATCCTAAATGTAACAGGGGGAGATACCATACTTCAAATCGAGAAAAAATGGATGGGATATCAAAATGACGGCCAAAATGTGGGTCCCATCACAGGTTCAAGCAGCCTCACTTTTGCCAACTTTAGGGGACTGTTGATCCTAACTGGAGTTGCTTCAACTTCTTCTCTTTTGATAGCATTGGTAATTTATGCCTACAAAAAGCAGCACCGGTCAACAGTAGTCATGGAAGTTGATAAAACGCAGGTAGAAGAGAACAGAGCAAATGAAGATAAGGATGAGCCTCAAGAAGGAAACCAAGGAGTGGTACCTGAGGAACATGTCCAGTTTAGAGGAGACAGAGAAGAAAACGGCCAGCTGCATGAGCAAACTGGTTCAGAAAAGGTGTGACAGAAATCCTCACACAAGCACAGATGCGTGCAATGGTTCAGTTGCCTCTCACAGGGGTGAACCAATCACCGTTCTCCAAGCAGAATCCATCTGAAGTTGAGCTTTTTTTTTTTTTCTACTAGCTTACAATGATCTCAGTCCCAAAAGTCTTTTTTTTTTGCGTTAATCTCAGTCCCAAAAGTCAATGAGCTCAACAAAGGCTCTTGTTACCCTTAAACTTGCAAGCGAATAAACTTGTATTATGCAGGAGTACTTTTTGACACTTGAACCATCTGATAACTGAAAAATGCCCAAGCAGAAACTGAATCCTCTGTTGAGGCATTCGATCGAACATCTGCTCAGCATCAACTACAGACGAGTGCACCATGCTCTATCCGCACCAATCCAGTAACACCTCGAGCTCTTAACCCACGGCCACGTACGTTCCGGCACCATGGGTAGTTACCGCTTCAGGCAGGTGCCTCGGACACGAGTGTAGGTTCGTGACCACCCTGGATACAAATGCCAGCGCCCACGGGCGTTTCGGACTGGTAAGTTGCGATTGCGAGGAAGACGATGGATTTTTTTTTTTTAGCAACGGAAGACGATGGATGAGACGAACAACAGCACAAACTAACGCATGTTCCTAGGCTCCTGTCCATTACAGCAGGGCCTAGAACATGGGCCACGTTACTACCGGTGCACGTATATCAATCCAGCAGCATTCTAACGTATATAAACTATAAAGGCTGAGTACTAAACACCCTTCAACTGTTGAAACAGCACGGGCGTTTAATATATTTAAACGGCGTTTAACATAGTAAACGAATGTCACATGTTTTATTTAGACCTTAAATGGTGAATTAAACAGTTGAAGTTTAAACCGTTAAAAGTTAAATGTGATTAAATAGGAGGATTACAACTACTGCATTGCACCAGCTAATTAACATCGTAAGTATATAAGATGGAGTGAGATTTAGTTTTATTCCAAAAAATATTTGATACAATACTTATTTTGTGGTGCAAGCGGTAGAGTCTTACCACCTGTGACCGGAAGGCCCCGGGTTCGAGTCGCGGTCTCCTCGCACTCTTCCCCAGATCCCGCATAGAGCGGGAGCTTTCTGCACTGGGTACGCTGCCCTTACAATACTTATTTTGTAGCTTATTTAATTTTTTTGGCTACACAAATATGTATGTCTTAGTATTAATATACAAAATTGTTTAATCATTTAACTCTGTTTGAACACCGTTCTAAATGACCTAAACGCTAAATTCGACTTTTTAGCGTTTAGGATAACACTGGTTAAAATCAAATAAATGTGGTGTTCTACTTTCTAAAATGATTAAAAAAATTGTTTAATATCTAAAAATTCATAACTAATTTATTTTAAATTGAAAAATTACGAAACTAGTACCAGTTTCTTCCTAAAAGTGTTTGATGCTCTGTTTAGAGTTATTTGGGTCTTATGAAGTTATGTTCCTATTGTTTATTGCTTATAGTCATGCATACTATTTATTTAAATTATCGTTTTGCATCTACTTTATGTTGATTACTTGTTTGGGGCACTGCCTAGTTTTAAACCTATAACCTAATCAGGAAATCAACATAAAGTAAATTACTACTCATGCAATGCCTAAATATGATCTATACATATCTATGAGGTTGGTATCACCTTTTCTCATCTTTTTTCTATGTATAACTTATAGCCTGCCAGATCATCCTGCACGAGTGGAACATCAAGAAATCAGGGCAAGTTTGTTTACGACTCCTGTGCAAAACTGGGGGAAAACATTCTACGTTCCAAATCCAATTCAGATACCAGACACCACCACATTCAAATTCATCGGCGTCACTACTGACATCCTACACCACACTGCACTCCTGCAAACGATAACAAAACGCAGCGAGATCGAGTGGCCATGGCCGTGCTACAAAACGCTGCTGCCAAGTTTGTCCCTCCACGCCAAATAACCATGCCGTTTCTGGACGACGTCCGGAAGAAGGGCGGCGTCCTCGACGACAATGTTGGAGCCTTGATCGATTCTGTACGATACATCGATGCCTTCAAGATGTAGGTGGTAAACCACACCGCAGTGACCTGTGTCCCTGTGGTCATCATCAGTGTCTTCGCCACAGTGGTCATTGGCATCAGCTTCCATGCTCACTTGATGGGGATGGGTCCGCTGTGAGATCGATCTGATGTCCCAGGAAAGGACCTGCTTGATAAGATCCTGAAACTCGTCTGCTGAAGCATAGAGCGACTGCTGCTGCTGAAACAAATAAACAGATTTTGAATTGTAAGCCCAAATTCTTATTTACAGTTGGCCTAGTGTGATCCCTTCTCATATGAAAAAAAAAAGAACTGAAATTTAATTGCTATTCAGCATATAAGATTTCTTTTTTACAGACAAAACATCAATACCACTTACTATATGCGTCCAGCAAGTGGGAAGCGCAGAAATGAAATGTTCAGAAAAATGGACAGACTCCACGGCTAATGCACCATCAACCTGCTTCAACAAAATTCTCAAAGATTACTAGGTGATGAACAATGAAGGTACTCGATTGTAGCATTGGCATAAAATATAGCAATATGAGATCTTGCACACGAGCTGTGAATCAACAATTCCTGAACGGAACATAAACTTTTCTTTCAATACCCAAATCTTACTCTCAAGTATCATTCAATAACCCCCATATTAAAGAAGAAAAGATTTACCAAAATCCTGAACTGTCTAAAAAATAAAATTAAAGCACGAGCTACACATCTTTTCAATTAGATAAGGCCAGTGCACTTGTATGAAGATAACTAATTAGCATGTATATGCAGACATCATCAAGCATCAAATGCTGTCCAGCGTTCACTACTGTGCAGAACGATGATTGATCCAGAAAAATAAACACACTTATTTCGAATTGATGAGAGAGAAATGAATTTTCAAGTTTGGAGAAATGTATGAACTGAGATGCAATATTGTACATACCTCTAACCAATTGGGAACAGCTGCACCTTTAACACTGTCAGAATATGGCAGGTATGGTTTAATATCAAACACAGGCTGTTGATAGGTGATCAATGTATTAGGAAGAGTTCACAGCTGACAGAGCTTAATTATATCAATCCTTTGCATAATACTGGACCATATAAACGCTTAAATTGGTACCGTGCCATCAACCAAATCTACTCCAGAAAGCAAAAGAGTATGCCCATCCACCGCCTCCACCTGTAAAACGTTGAAATGAAGAGAAGAAAACGTCAAACCACTATAGCATGCTTAACAAGATTAACCAAAGCAGGCAACAGCTCAAAGCGCATAAGAAATGTTCACATCCAAGCATACACAGTAGCCCTAGCATCTAGCATGCTTAACAAGGTCAATCAAACTAGGCAATAGCCCAAAGCAAATAAGAAATGTTCACACCCTAGAATCAATCGGAATCAATATATTAGTTGCCTTTCTTATAATTTAAGTGACACAGTAGGATGTTTTGGTCACAAGAAAACCTTTCTGAAGAGAATCCCTGTGGTGAAATCTGTGTGAAAAAACATCCTTCAGACAGTAGATAGCAAGCAGCATTATAGATAGCAATGATCGTTACGATTATTGTCTACCTAGAAGTTCACAATTCCTCAATCCTAATATTGATTTCCTCAATGTGTTCCAGAAAGCAACAATAACTGAAGAAAAACACAGGACCATTTCAGGTGACACCTTAGCTACGCTGAGTCCAATTGGATTAGGCCGATGTGGCGATCTAGTTGCCAAAACCCCCATCTTGCCCCCTTTCAACCTCGGTACCCTTACCTTCCATGAGAAAGCAGAAGATTCCATTAGTTCAACCCAATATCCACTACAACATTCAGAAGAATATTCATTTATATCAGAAAAAGGAACCACCAAAGGGCTAAGAACAAAACCATACCTTAGCTTTTAGCTTAGACCTAGCAGGATCTTTCCACAGTTTATCAAGATCAGTGTTAAGGTGAAAAACATAAAGAATCCAGCAATGTGAGTAACTAGCTAGTCCCTCCAACGCTGCTGCTGGAACTCGGGCAGGATCAAGCACCACAGTTGCCCTGGCCAACGTAACTACCAAAGGTTGCCTTGGTGTACCATTCCTGTGATTGTAGGGTCAACAAGGCAAGACGTTTAGTAGGTTCATAGCTCGGTTTCCACACCTGAGCACATACATCCACACCAAACATCCATTCTGGTAACTATCCAATAAATTGATTGAATACTACGAGTCGTTGGAAATGGGGGGAAAAAATCGATGGCAATCAGCACCTAGTGGAGAAGCAAGACTGGACAGTGCCAATCGGCGCCAGCGGGTAAGATGCTGGGGCGGCGGCCTTGGCCGGCCTCGCCTCGTCGGAGCGAGGCTCCTGCTGACTCAGAGCCCTCCTCAGCGACTGCAAGCAAGGAAACGAAATAGAGATTCGGCAGCACGAGCCTGATGATATGGCCCAACTCGAAGGGAAGTGCACGTTAGAACACGAGAAAACTTGCAGCGCCGGACGGCGGCGACCTCACCTGCTGGGCCCGCACTCTGCCGCGGCGCTCGGCAGCGGCCTTCTCTGCAGCGACTGCGAGTGAGGCCTCCACCTCGCGGACCCGCGCGGCCAGACGAGCGCATTTGCGCCTGTAGAACAAGCCTGTGGGAAGGGCACGTCGGTGAGGGAGGAGAGGTTGATGTTGGGAACTTGGAGCTAGAAACGATGAGGTGAGGGAAGAGCGAGAGATTACATGAGAGGACGATGGCTGCGGCAGTGGCAGCTATGGCGGCGCCGGCGAGGCTTCGCGGCGGCGCCACGGTGGAGGGGCGTCGAGTCGACGGCACCGAGGCCGCGCTAAGACATTGGATTCGGTGAAACTGGGCTGCGCTTCGGGTTGGAGAACGTGGGCCGACGAACTAAGGCCTTGTGTAGATCACCTTTTTCACTCTCTCTACGTCACATTAATTTTTGAATATATTCATGGAGTATTAAATGTAGGTAAAAAAAATAACTAATTACATA